CTTTTTGCATTGCCAGCAAAGCTCTTGAAAGTTGAAATGATGGCAAGACAAACACAAACCTTATGTACGAATTGAATTATATAACAAGGTATATAAAATTATATATATTTATGTATATATAAACATACATATATATAGCGCTGATGTTATATATATTTTTGGCAAAAGCAAAGGAAACACACAAAAACCACAAAAATGCCGCCTACACTGGATGCTGATGTTGTTTCCTTGTTGTTGTTGTTGTTGCTGTTGGAATTTAGGGCGGTTGTCACGCCCACACATGACTTGCCGTCAAAGGGTTAAGACAGAAAATAGGTAAACGGGTAGCTAAGGGGTTAAGGATAAGGCAGAGAGGTCGGATTTGTAGGTGGCAGATGGGTTGGTTTAGTGGAAAAGCGGCAACACATCCGCTTGCCCTTGCGGCATATCCTGCAGTTTCCTTCCGCTGCTCCCTCATCCCCCCCTCTCTAAACACTCTCTCTCCATTTTCCACCCCATTTTGAGCAAAGAGTTTTGTGCCCCTCGCGTTGAATTTTCCCGAGTTTCCCGCACCTGTCAGTTTATCTAACACGCACTCCAGGCTAAAGAGCAACGGAAGGCGGTAAAGTGCCAGGGAAAACAGCAAAAATAAAACGAGCAAGAGAAACGAGACCAAAAAATACGTAAATTAACAAAACCTGCCGCCAATCATGGGTGTATGTGTGTGTGTGTATGGTTTTGGGTGGGAAAAGGAAACCCTGATGGGAGGGTCTTTTGTGTATTTTTTTCTCTCTTTTTTTTGCAACGGGTTTGCAGGATAAACTGAAAAAGCATCGAGATACACTTTCAATTTGACAGGATTCTAGGATTTCCTGGACACCGAAAAGGGATGATGGCTAAGCTAGTTATCCAGCAATGATGGGGCAGAAAACATAACTAATGATTGGATGAAATGTAGCAAACGTTTTGCAGATAATCAGAAGATAAAAAACTAACACGGAAAGTGTGCTTAGCTAAGCTAGAAGTTTGTAAGAAGAAAAATGTAAGGGAAAAGAGAGAGAAAGTTGATGGAGAAGAAAGGTTGGTAGAAAAGTCTAAAAATACTTCCTATTTCTCCCTAGTTTTCCTTTAGATTTCCTAAAATAGTTTAATAACTTTCTAAATCCAAGGGTATTACAAAAATTCGACTAGTTTTCGTAAGGATCGAATCGCCCTAAACCTCTTTTTTGTGTATTTTCGTTGGCTCCTTTTGTCAGAAAACAAGCAACAGGAACAACAAAAAGGACTAACTCCTGTGGCATTTCCCTCTGCGTGTGCGTGTGCGTCTGTGTGTGTGTGTCTGCGTGACTTCGTATATGCGTGTCTCTATATATGGATGTGTGCGTGAGGATGGGTGAAATTAGTTTAGGGCAACGAGGCACATTTTTGAGATTCATAAACTTGGCAAGGCGTTGTATGCCTTGCGAGTGTGTGTTAATTTCAAGTTGACTCCTCGTTTTACTCGTTTAATTGGCCTGACTGACACTAAACACACACACATAAACAAGGGAAATTACAATGAAAAAAAAAAACAGAAGAGGAAAACAGCAAATGAAGTTCATGCTTATGAATTAATGACGCCAGAAGGGTAAATAAACAGAAAAAAGAAAAGAACTTCCTTTTTTTTTGGAGTTCATTGAACTGCCATTGGTGGACTTGACAAATTTCAATTAATTAACTCATTTCATATTCATCTTCATTAGCCAGAAATGCAATGAAACCGTTCAATTAGGCCAAGTCAATAATTCATGTCTACAGAAAGGGCAGGCATTACTGGCCAAGAACTAATTGGAATTGTGGTAGTATTGGCAGTTTCTGTATTGAAATAGTCTTAGATTTTGCCTGAAATATTTCCTTGATTAAAATTCCTTTCATTCTCGAACTAAGTCAAACGTAAAAGTTAGTTAAATTAGACATGTGAATGTCATTTTGTTTGCTGATCAAATATTAAGTTTAATAAATATTAATTTAATATTAAGAATCAAGAACAAAAATCTAGTTTAAGTTTCAGCTTCCTGCCGCTTTTCACGTTTGTTCTTCTTCCATCAAGATTTATTTTTAAATTACAAAAATCTTAAATTCGCAACCTTTTTCGAGATGCTGCCTGTAATGATTATTTCATGCCATATAATATTTACGGCCAACACTTTATTAATGCAGGGCAAATACTGGCGAAAACACAAGCTCGCACATATTTGCGGAGCATAAATTGAGGCGAAATGCGAAAAATATTTCCCCCCCCAACGTTGGATGGTTGAAAGTCAAAAAGGCGATAATTTCATTTACAACTGTCGCCCACACATCCATATATCAGATATATATATATATATAAAGATATATACAGAGATATATATACATACCTTATATGGCACATCTCTACATTTTATATACACTTGTTTACCTGTTACCGCCCATTGCCCACCTCTTATTCGCTTGTTTTTTTCTTTCATATTTTTTTTTTTGTTAGCTTTGGTCGACGTCAATTTATTGATACCACCCAAAAAAAAAAGAAATGTAAAAAAAAGAAACAAAATTTGAGGCAAAGAAAAAGCGAAACGTAGCCATAAAAATGAAACTGAAAATGAAGGAAAATTGCCAAGGGGTGTTGGAAAAAATTGATGGGTGGCTATGTGGCTAGGTTGGTAACTGAAGTTAAGGTATTTGTCAACACAACGCTTGTAATGTTTTTTTGCTTACTTTTTTCTCTCTTTTTTTTGGGATGACTAGCAAAGGGCATGACGTATACGCCATGGTGTACATGCAGTATTTCTTGGAATTCCTTTCTTTTAGCTATATTTAAGGCTAACAAATAAGGTTTTATGCTCCCTTTTAAGAGAAGATTTTTACATATTTTTTTTGGAAATAAATTCTATTTTTCAAACTACTAACTAAAGCAATAAATTAGCAATTAAATTTCCAACTCAATGGGTTAGAATCCTTCTCTTTTTAGACCCCTTCTAGCACATTTCTCTCAACAAAACGAAAAAATGCAAAACATGTCCTAAAATATTTATTTTTAGTTTTAAATGCAATTCGATTGGAATTTTAATTGCAATTTTAACGATGCATCGCATTCTATGTCTGAATGACTCTTCGCATTGTTGTGGGGAAAAATACTGATTATTTTTGGATCAATAAATGTGATCAGAATTTTTAGCAGAAATAAAATATTTCCCGTTGGTTTTCATATCATAACTTGTCTGATAATTATCCTACAGCTATAAAACTAACTAATTTGAACAGCTAGCGACCACACCTTTTGAGCCATGTGATTGTCTAGTTACTTGTGAGAAATTCATTTTTTCAAAATTTTTTGCATTTTTCGTAAGGGGTAACATCATCAAATTTTACGAAAAAAGGCCAAAATTTGACTTTTTTAACCTGGGATACAGTTTTCTTGGAATTTAAATTACGAGTTCATCGAGGTATTACATTCCATATTTGGACCATTGTTGGCTTAGTTATGGGAATAATACAACCACTTTGGGGGGGAAATGAGGAGAAATCAATTTTCGCATTTTCGATAAGGGGCAACATCGTCTTTTTTGAGAAAAATGGATAAAAATTAACAATTTTAGCTGTGAATGCAGTTTTGTTGGAAATTTAATAAAGAATTCAACGAGATATGGCATTCCAGATTCGGGTTACTATTGGCTTAGTTATGGGAATAATACTGAAACTCAAAAGAGGAAATAAGGAGAAACCGAATTTCGCATTTTCCATAAGGGGTAACACTATAAAAATTTCAGAAAAATTACAAACTTTTGACATTTTAAGCTGTGAATACAGTTCAACTAGGAATTCAAAACCAAACTCAACAAGGTATGACATTCCATAATTGGACCATTATAGGCATAGTTATGAAGAAAATACTACCGTTTATAGGGGGAAATGAGGTTAAACTTAAGTTCGTATTTTTTATAAGGGGCAACATCATCAAATTTTGAAAAAGCGGCTAAAATTTGACTTTTGTGTGAATGCAATTTTAATGTAATTTTAATTACGAGTTCATCAGTGTATGACATTCTATAACTGCACCATTCATTCACTTTGTTATGGAAAAAAAATGGTATTATTTTTGTCAGAAAATTAGGAATTTTATCGATTTTTAGTTCTTAGTTAGTGAAAATTTCTGATTTTCCTGGTGTTAACCCTCAATAAACCTATCGTTGTGCCCCTCCCCCATTCTCGTGTTACTACTCAAGGTGTGGTACCCTAAAGACGCTTCAATGGCGTTGCTAAGATGTCAAGTATCTATGGACTCAAGTGATTTTAGTGAGAGAAAATTTAAAAAGTAAAGACTTGGACTTGGACTTGCCATATCCCCAGTTTGCCATATTCCTTCATAATACTGTCTTTTTATATCCTTTTTTACTCCTTCTTTTTTTTTTATTTTTATAGTTCTTGATTTTATTTACTATTTGCTTGGCTGCGGGTGTCGACGAGTGGCGGCAACGCAGGTTAAGTCAGTTGGATGCCAGGACACGCTTATCCTTTGCCGACGTCGCTGTCTGTACTTCTTCTCTAGTTTTCTTCAGGTTTTCCCCTTGCCTTCCCCTTTGCATTTTCCCATAGCCCTTTCTTTTTTGTTTCTTTTTCTTCTTCTTCTTCTACTTCTACTTCTTCTTCTTGTGGGGGTCTCAGCTTGTGCTCTCGTTACGGACGAACTGTAGAGAACGCGTAAAGCGTAAACTACAAATTGTTTTGTAGTTGCCTCAAATGCTTCTTGTTCTTTTTTTCTTCCTTTTCTTTTTTTTTTTTTATTTTTTGTTACGGCAACAGCAATTGGCTTCATTTTTATTGGCATTTATAGGGGGGCGTGGCAGCAGGTGGGTAGGTAAGCCCCCCCACCCACAATTGGGGCAACTTCGTTACGCTTCTTTTATTTTTATTTTATTTCATACACGGTTTCCTTTTCATTTTTTTTCTTTCTTCTTTTTCTTCTTGTTTTTTTTTCGCCCATTTATTTGACCTCGCCATGTGTGTGGGTGGGTGGCTGGGTGGTCTTGGGCTTGGGTGTTTGCTCACGTAATTCCCTAATTAAATACTTAAATTGTAATTGCTTTCGAACCAGAAAGCGACGAAAGCTCCAGGAGTCCTGTCATTAAAAACGAATATATATAAACTTGTATATATATATAGAGAAGAGTCATGTGTCGTAGTCCATTGAAAAGAAATCAAGGTGTGTAATGGTTGCTGCTGTTGTTGCAAAAAAAGAAGAAAGCAAGAAAAGTGCAAAGTGTAAGGTAACTAAAAGATGTGTCTACATCATGCTTTCATTTTCAATTCAATCTGCTTGAATAATTCATCATGAAGACATGACATCGCATCAAACACACACACTAAGAGAGAGAGAGACAACCAACGATGGACATCCAATCGAATCAACTTTAATTGAATGAAAACAAATCATGCCAATCATATTGACTCTAATCCAATTAAATTAAACGAAAATATTTCAAATACATCTAAGATGATTCGAAACGCTTTAAATATTTTCAAAACCAAAACAGAATTATATACATTTTGGGGTAACTAAACTAGTAAAAGAGTCATAGCTAAGAGTCATGATAAATCCCTAAGTTAAACTTGACTTGGGATAATGCTAAGTTTAAGTAAAAGATATACATTAGTAGAAAAGCAATTTACGCTCTGATATATATCTATCATTAAAACTAATCTATAGTTGGCCATTAAAATGTGTTGTAAAATAAAACCCAGAAGCTAGTGAGACTGACTAACTACTGTTCGCTGTCCGTTAAGCCATATAAGTCATCACTTTAATTTTAATTGCCTTCCTTCCCTTTTCCCTATACGACTAAGCTTAGTCCGCTTACGCCTCTGTTGACCTACAGGACCTACGGCCATTGGCGATTTTCCTGTCTGCTCCTTGAACTTGCCTCGTGCATCTACTGGCCACGTTTTTATGTGCTTTTAAGTGTGCAATTAAAGGTCAATTGCCGGCCAGGCTGGACAGCTAGCCAGCCAAACGCTGAAGTAGCCCATAAATGAGGCGATGTCTTTTGAGAGTGTGACCAGCTCTATAATATTTTCTTTTTTTTTGGTTTAAAAACATAAACTTTATGACTCTTAATATAATGAAAATGAAGTTTGGTGTGTGCTGAAGAAATTATAGTTTAAGTATCAGAAAAATTTAGTATTGATCTGATTTAGTTAATGCAAGAAAAGTCAACTTTGATCTAGATCAATAATAAACATAAAGGCCATTCCTCTTCTCGCCTCTCCCCCAACACTAGTAGGCCTTTAAAAATACTTTCAATCCTCTAATCCAAACACCTGATAACACCAAAACGACCAAATTTGGCAGTATCCCTTATCAATTTACACCGAAAAAACATGTCCAAAGACACACCAATATCTACCAATTTGGCTGAACACAAGGCTGGCCGGATGACGCTTATCGGTAAGATGGTCGAACCCGATGAACGCAGAGGATTGCTATTCGCTCGTCGCTCTACCACTGATAATCAGGTGCACATCCATTGGATGGATACACGATCGGGAGCCATTGAATTGGATATTATTGTCACGCCAGGTGGTCTAGAATTTCGACGTATTGATGAATGCAAAACTGGTCGCGTTTATGTACTAAAATATACACGATCCACACAGCGTTATTTCTTTTGGATGCAAGAACCAAAAATGGAAAAGGATATGGAATTTTGTCAACGTCTCAACGAGATAATTGGCGGCGGTCCCAAGAAATACAATGAAAGTGAGGCTGCCGAGGGTGATGTCGATACAGATGTGGAACAGGATAATCATCGTGGTTTCGGTGGCAGTGAACTTATTATTATTAACCATAATGAAAGTAGCCAAGAACTTTTAGAAAATTCTATACTTTTGCAAACCGATGACAGCGACGAAACTTTATCATTGACATTTTCTAATATCTATACATATTCAGAGCCAAAAGTCTTGGCATCTGCCATTGTTTCGCATGGCACTGAAGCTATGGAATGTCTTATGACATCATCGGTACGCCGTCAAAAGTTGTTAGCTCAACTACCCAAAGATCCGGATGAGGAGGACAATGATAATGAAACTGAAATAATATTCAAACATTTACGTTCTGATGAATTCAAAGAATTTCTAACCGATTTTACTTTTGGCCTACACGCAGGCGTTCTTAATACGGCCCTGAAATCTCTTATCAAGAACCATGAAGTCCTGGAAGCTGCCCAGTCTGGTGATATCGAACGTTTTATATATGTTCTGACTCATCAGGCATAATATTATCGATTGAGCTTAAGTGTGGGTCTTGATATACGTTAAAAATTCGCACCAATAAATATGAGATATACCAAAAAAAAAAAACTAGAAGGAAAATTCAAGAAAAAAACGTACAAAATGCAATAACTGGTTGACTCCTTGGCCGTCACTTTGTCTCGAGTTACGAAGATAAATGAGATGCCATAAGTTAGACGACAACTTGCACAACTCCAGACAAAGACCAAGCGGATAAAAGTGCGCTTCAGCTCAGCAAAAATAAAATGAAATAAAAAAACGAAAAGCGTTGACTTTTTTCCCCATACTAAAAATTGATATAAAATACACACACACACACACACACACACACAAAAAAAGTATAAAAAGTAGCAAACCCAACGATGAAAACAAAAGAGTAGGAAATTTCTCAAATAAAAAATAGTTGTAAACTATGGGGAGTACTTAGGATCGGGTTAGTGCGGCTGTCTAGGAGGGGGGATTCAGTCTTTCAGTTCAGTTTCGAGTTTAAGAGTTCTGGTCCTTTGCGACAGCAGTTTTCTTTTGCCTCATTTGTATGGCGCCTGTTCTGTCCTGCCAACCCTTCTTATATTCAGCCCTGTTTTTCCCAAAAAAAAAAAATCAAAAAAGAGGAGAAAGAAGAAAACTTTTTCCACGTTGTTTTAATGAAACTAAGTGAGCGGCAAAATGCTGGACAGCGCGGGAGCGGGCTCGGCCAGTGTGAAGAATTGTTCTATGGTTTTGGGTCAGATAAAGCATTCGAAAATGCTGGGCTGGAAAAATGTTATCCCCTTCTTCTTTTTTTTGGCAAGAAAAGCAGACCTAAGAAAGGCAAAAATCTTCAGAAAGTTGTTGCATTGTGTCAGAGTTTGGACAATGGTAGTAAAGAACAAAAAAAAAAAAAAGGAAAGAATATTCGTGTATGCTGACTAAGAAAAAGCAAATTTAATGATTAGTTTTTGTTCGCTTTCTTGCTATACGGCAGTGCATTTGTCATTATTGAGAGTGACCAGCGTTTGTTTTGGTATGGCTGTGAGTTAATAGTGTGGCTGTAGTTTTTTTTCTTTTTCACAGAGGGTAAATCAAGAGATTAAATAAAGAAAACTTAAGGCAAACTTAATTCACTTTACGTTTTAAGCTTGCCAATTCTATAACCCTAACCATGAATTTCCCCCTCTCATTTAACCAACTAAAACTAATTAAGCTCCCCTGTAAACCCTTCTTTCTTGCTCACTTCTGGTATCCACATTAAACTTAATGCTAAACAGCATTGCAGAGAATTGCCATAAAAATTACTTAAAACCCAACCAACAAGCAGCTTAAATATGCCTCTTATTGATGTTCTTCACAACGAAGCAAATGCAATAATAGTTAAGAGAGAAAAGGAGCTCAAACAGGCGAAGGGGGAATATACTACGTGTGTGTGTATGGCTATGTGTGTGTGTGTGTGCAACATGGGGGAACTAGCTCTTTAGCCGCTTTTCCAGCTCGCAGTTCCCAGTTTCCCAAAACTTCATGTCCATTCCCATTGCCATTGCCATTTCCATGTCCATGTCCTTTACCACTTTTCCAACTCTCTCTCTCTCTCCCCCAGCTTTTCCAGCTCTCGACTGCTATGCGTGTTGCATACTAATTTCAAAAATTTGCCATTACATTTGTACTTCGCACTGCTCCATGGCACTACACTGCCACTATTACTACCCCAAAAAAAAAAAAAAAGAAACTCATCTCCTTCCATCTATTTTCTACCCATATTCCTGCCCTTCAGCTTGTCGGTTTGCTGCCATCTTGAATTACGCAAACACACACATACCGATACACACACTGAGACACCATTGAGTGTGTGTTACTGTTTTTGGTGCTTGATAATCAAGCAGCAACTGAAGCTGGAACTGAAACTGAAACTGAAACTAAAACAGGCAAAGAGAGAGAGGAGGAACAGCAAGCCATGGGGTAATTCACACACAAAATTGCTGGAATTTTTGCTGTAGTCAAAGGTGAAGCCAAAAGCATCTTAGCCACACATGCAACCCGAAAGCTATCTCTTTCACTCTTTGTTGTTACAAAAACAAACACAACATTTGTTTCTCAAAGTGAATTTTCATTCCGTTCTAAATGTAAATAAAAGTTGCCTTCTACTTGGTTTTTTTTTTCGTACCTACAGGCAAAAATGAGTAGGAAATGCCCAAGGAATTTACCACCTCATGTGGAGTTTTCAGGCAATTGGTCAATTATTGTTGCTGTCATGCTAGGGGTATTAACTGAAATACTAAACAAAAAAAATGTATAAGAATTTCTTATAATCATTTAAAAAGTTGTGTGAAATCTCATTCGAAAAAGCAAAATACCAGAAAGATCTCTAAGCAAATATTAAGAAAGACATTCTTTTTAGCCTTTGGCTTAATTGGAATTTATTTCACTTTGAATTCAGGCAATTGCCAAAGCCAAAAACATTTGATTAGGTTGATTGCGAAATTTGTGGAATTTGTGTGGGACTGAACTTCTAATCAGGATTTCTCTTGAAGAGCCTCGAGCCAAAGTCGAAAACTTTAAGCACGTGTCATAATTGTCAATGCCACAACGCTTTTGGTAAAGGCAAATACATATATAGAATAATATATATATTAAAGTATATATATATATATATAAGATATATGTGGCATGCTGCGGCAAACGGAAGTCACACAGACATGAAGGAGAAGCAGATCAGAAAATGGCAGACAAATGGGAAAGGCATTTGACATTGACCAAACATTGTCGCATTAAGGAAACGCACTGGCCTCAAGCATATCCTTACCAGAAAACACTCATCGAGAGGTGGTCAAACATTTCCTTTCAATGATGCTCAACTTGATGTCTCTCTCTCTATGTTCCTTCTTGAAATATTGTCCTTGAAATGCCTTCAAGAATAGAGTTGACAAACGATTTATTATCGATAAATTCGATTTTCTTACTTTTTAACTGTAATCAGCGATAAATACTTTTGCAAAAGCAAAACTTTTCGAAACAATATAAATGTCGGTATTACCTTAGCTTGATTTGTTAATCGATTTTACTGCTGAGTTTTTAATCGAATTATTTGAGAATTTATTGGTGAATTGATCAACTTTAGTAATCCCGTTATTTATAATCGATGTTCTGTCATCTCTGCCGCAAAAGTGTACATTAAAAAAACTGACGCCAGACCCGGAGAAAAGTTGCCAAAAAAGGCCAGCGACAGTATTGCTGGAAAAAAACCTCTCTTTCCCCAACTTTTTCCCCCTCTCTATTTCCTACCCTCTCCTTAACCCCCCTTTTTAGTCACTGGCCTAGTTCGCATTGAAGCCGCAGTCCATGAGACAATAACTCATGAAGTGTGCGGCGAGGGGCCAAACGGAACCCGAATAAAAATCAAATAATAGCGTAAAAGCTTTACCCTCTAAAAAAAAAATTGTGAAAAAGGGAGAAGTGTAGAGGGAAAATGGGGGTTAAAATTGGAGGAAAAAAACCCTGTCCAAGGGACAACAATAAAATGTCGCCGTCGAGCTTTGTCCGCGTCGGCAAACCAGAAAGTTAACCCAGTTGCAGGGAGCAATGAATAAATTTTCCAAACTGACGCTGGAAAAACTTTCCTATCGCGCAGCCCTACCAAAAAAAAAAAAAACGAAAAGTCAAATTAAACCAATAGGAGTTTAAAAATAAGGTAAAAAAAAACCTAACTTTACAAATAGATAATAAAAATGAAAAAGTATTTAAATTATCAATTTTAGAGCTATGACAAATTGATGGAAAACTAGTCGATTTTCAACTAGATTTTCTAAATATTTTCCCCATGCAAATGCATTCAATTCCGATTTAAGCCAACGAAATTAACGAATTCTTTGAATTAAATAACTTTCACCGCTGCACCGCCACGCCGCGCCCTGCGTGTGGTCTCTCCTGTCATTCTCGGGTTAAGTGCACCACCGCTCGATATGCCAGATGAAGAGGACAAAAGTGCATTTAACAAATTAAAATCGCAGAAACCACCATCCAAACGAAATGGCAATAAAGCTCTGGCCAGGCATGGGGGTATAAGGGGGAGAAGGGCGGGCCGAAATGGCTTTTTTGGGCAACGTCCAATAATGATGTTGTTGCCGGTTTGGATTGGGTCCCCTTGGTCTCTGGGTCCTCACTGGTCGTTGTCCTGCTCGTCCTCGACTTTCTGACTGCGAAAACTGAATGCAATCCGAGCCGGAACTGACACGCACAAAAGGATATGCAACACTCACTAATAAATTTCATATTTATGTAGAACACACACACACACACACATACGCAGAGAGCAAGAGAAGCGAGGGGAAGAGGGAAATGCAGTCAACGAGTGGGCTAAAAAAGGGAAATATCCGTCGAAATATAAACGTGAAATTGCCGGACCAACCAAAGTTTGTTGTGTGTGCGGTTCGCTATGCAAACATTTTCCGGCGGGCAGCGTATAAGGGTTAAAGAGGGGGGTAGATACTTTTTTGGGCACATCTGACAATCTCGGCAGAACAATAAAAACGAATCGAAATTAAACCAAATAATGCTGGGGAATATATCTGCCATGGCGGCTAAATGTCCCATAAAATCGTTATCCAAACTTTATGGCTGATTTTCTTTGTCTTTTTCTTTAAGTATTAAAATTACATTTTTAAAATGGGATATTAAATATAATATTCTATATTTTTTAAGTATTAAAGTTTGATTTTAAATTAAATTTAGGCATCTTCATTCTTGTAAACTAATATTTTATAATAATTTCTATTAAAAAACAAACCTAATTTTGTGGTTTTTCTTTTTTTGGCAGCCAATAAAAATGGCAGCGAAAAAAACACACAAAAAGCAGTAACCATAAACCAAAACCAAAACCAAAAACCAAATCATTTCAATAATCAATTGCAAATCAATTTATCTCATTTGTCCTCCAATCATAATTTTGCCCAGCAATCAATTGTAGGTGGCGGGTGTTATTTTTCTCGCTTTTCCCTTTTTTACAGTTACCTTAATTTGCATAATTTGAAATTATTAACAACTGCTTTGAATCCAGCTTAAACTCTATAAATATTTATTTAATCATTTATTCATGCATTACATTTTCACAGTTTTAATGTTTACTCATTGCCCGGCGAATTAAAAATCAAAATAAAAGAGAAAAAATAGCCAAAGCTTTACGGGTATAATAAATATTTGATGAAAATAAATGCTAAAATGTTTCAATATTTATTTTGATGGTGGGGGTGGCGAAAACATCTAACGTAATTTTCATATTCGTTTAATCGTTTGCAGTCATCAGTTATTAGCAATATGCCTAGTCATTGTCATTTTTGATTAAGGAAAGTAAAAAAAAACTTGAACAATTTTTCATAATATTAAAGAGATCAAATGATGTAATGATTGGTATTAAGATTTGCTTTTGATTTTGTGGGGAATGATAAGTTTTCTGTATATTTTAGTGATTTTTCTTCTTGACAAAACCAACTCTGATTTCTTCCCTTGCAAATTTCTGTAAAATTCGGTAATTTCTGTTACTAACTTGATATTGAAATTGTTAATAATATTAAAGAGATCAAATGATGTAATGATTGGAATTAAGATTTGCTTTTGATTTTGTTGAGCTTGAGCTTGTTTTCTTGCCATTTTAGTTTAGATTTCTCTTCTTAACAAAACAAACTCTTATTCCCGCCTTTGCAAAATTCCGTAAAATTCTTTAATTCCTGCTACTAACTGGATATGCCAAATATACCGAAAAACCTAGGTAAATATCTTCTGTTGATTAAAGAATTACACATTTTAATATTCTTTCATCTTGATTCAATGGCAAGCCCATCTCAATTTCATTGGCAAACACAGAACTGGGGTATATTTTTCAATTATTAATTGATGTGGTAAGGAGCAATGTTTGTTTTAATGTTTTGCCTTTGGCTTGTGCAGTTTGGCCGTATTTGCCTTTTGCTCCCAATTGGTATCTCAGTTTCTCTCTATGTGTGTGTGTGTATGTCTTTGTGTAGTTTGAGTGTGTGTATATTTGCCAAGCCAAATTCAAACTTGAGCACTTGACATTTCACGCTTGCATAGATGGAACTTTGGTAGGCAACGTGAAATTGTTAGTCGTAGGAAGCTTACTGAGATTCCCAAATGCATTTTACGTTCCTGGTTTTTCTACTCCCCCTTACCGAAAACCTCACCCAGTTTTTCCACGACTCCAGGCCGTGTTTGTACCGCACCTCCACGCACCCCCCACCATTTAGCCCTTGCCTCTTTCTCGCTTTTCTGGCCCCAGCTGACACTGATGATGTGCTATTTATTTTCGGTCTAGGCTGTCCTCGCTGTCCTGTTCGTCCTGCTGCGTTGATTAAACATTTGTGTTATGAAATATATACACAGAGTGATACATACAGAGACACACACACACACACACACATACACCCATTCATATATATATATATATACTAATCCGCATTCACATTCATTTCTCAATGCGGGTGTGTCTACTTTATATGCATATGCCGCTTTTGATTGCTGTTTACTGGCTGCATCCATCCTGTATCCTTTTGGCTTGCAGTTTTGATCCTTTAATAGAATATTTAATTTTAATTACAAACATTTGATTTCCCACTTCAGCCATCGTCGTCGTCGTCGCTTCGCTGGCTACTGGCTGCTGGCTGCTGGCTTTAAAAATTCATGTCACAAAAACAGTGACAAAAAATTAATATCAAATATTTATATTTCTTGCTTTTTATTTATTTCTTTATTTTTATTAAATGATTTAGAGGATTTCAAATGAAGTTTGTAAATAAATATTGTATTTTATTTGTGTTTTAATATTTGATTTTAATATATTTAAAATAAAATAAAAGGGAGATCAGCGTTAGAGTTTGCATTCTCTTTCATAGGAATTACTTTTCAGTTTCAGTTTTATTTTTCTATTTATTTTCTCAGTGCATTTAGACCATGTATGTGTGTTTTGTGTGGGCTAGCAAATTGAATGCGTGTGTGCCTGAAAGCATAAGCCGGCCAAGTTGAGCGAGACGGCGACCGAGACAAGAGCCAAGTTACTTGGGGCTTTTGTCAATGCCACGATGACGATGACGATGACGATGACGAGGAGAATGAGCTTGTAGATGTTGGATGTAGATGAGAGTATGAGAATGAGGATGACTTCTTATAGAACACTTGCCACGCCCCTTCAGGGACAGTGCATTTGGGAGTTTGTGACAGAGTAGTAGAAGGGAAAAAGGGGAAAATGGGTGGCAAAAGACCAAGCAATGACCTCCACAGCTTGCAGTTGGGCCAAAAGGCAAAAGCAAAAAAGCAAAAAAAACCTATTCATGTGTGGATCTTAAAAATTGCTTTAAGTTTGTCAGCTAAAGTTAAAGTTTAATGGATGGAAATTAAAGGGGAAAATCTTTACAGCAAGAAGAGGTGTAAGCTATGGAAAAATAACTTTCAAACTTGTTTATTTATTAACTTAAGATTAAGCATTTAAACAGCAAGTGTGAATTTATTATTTTTACATTTCTTTTTTCTATTTTCATTGTGTAATTAATTCTGTAAAAAAAGTTTCCACTGAAGCACTTGGCTTTGATAAAAAGTTTTGACCTGATGAAACCTTTGCTGCAGTCTGAAAACTTTCTCAAGAGCTTACCAACTTTCGAAATTCCTCTGGCCACCTTTTTCCATACACATAACATAATACTAATAATATATAAAAAATCTAAATAATTATTAAGTTCAACAAACTCTTATACACACACACACACACACACACACACAAAAACACAAAATCAAATCGCAATTTCTGACGTGATAACTAATTGAATTTTCCTCATTCTTTTTCTCTTTCTTTACAGGTGAGTGTTATGGTCCCCAGACAAATATGCAATTTGCACGTAAGATGTCTTCCCTTTTTCCCTATTCCAAAGACAAGAAATAAGTTCACCATTCGAGTGGCTGATCCATCATGAGGGTTTTTTTGGGTGCCCATGTCCCAACCCCTGCGCCTTGCGTAACCTCCCTTATATATATATATATTCCCATATCTACTAATTTTTCCCCCTTACCATTTCGCAATATAATCCCAGAACCCAGATCTCAGATCCCAGAGATTCTGTGGCGCGTTCCATTTGTCAATGTGCAGCACGTACTCAATCTTCTGGCTTGTCAAACTTGGCAATGTTGCAACCAAAAATGTTTGATGTTCGTTCAAGAAAATTTTCTGCTACTGTGGTGCTTTTAAGAGGGAGTCAGGCAGGCAGGCAGGGGCTATTTTCGCCCTCGGGGGAGTTTTAGGATGTGTCTTAGGAAACACTCAGGGACACATTCTTAAATGTGATTATGTTTAGTGGCGTTTAAGTGCAAGTTTATCAGAGTATAACTCTCAGAGGGGGTTTTTTTAAAGGCTAATTAACATAAATTAAAGTTAATTTTCTAGCAGGTTGAAGGAATATTAAGTAAGGTATTGAAGTTTCTCAAATAGGTGGAACTTTTCTTTAAGTTTTTCACTGAAAAGTAGTTCTTAGCTCTTCTTAGCTTTATTTATTTTTAATATTTACTCAAGATTAATATTTTATAATTATCTTTTCCTTAGCCTTCCATGATTATAGCCTTACCTTAGGTTGCCCCTAGAGGGTTGCCTTAACTAGTTCTTTCTGTCTTTACCCACCACGTACCACAAAATACGTGAGTGTGTGGGTTTATTAGTGGACGTGTGTGTGTGCCTGTGTCAGTGTACGTGTTTAGCAAATACTTGTCTATAGTTTCAGGCGACGTAGGACAAAAAAAAGAAAAAAAAAAGAAAAACTGGAAGAAAAAAGTTGAGATGATTCTATTAGCTAAACAAACACAAGCAAAAAGGATCGATGGGCCGATGCAGCAGGACAGTCTAAAAATATCAACATATTTCATTTTGTTGTGTACACACACACACACACACATATATACATAGTATATCCTTGCAGGTCCTTTGCTGCTGTGCACATAACGAAATTACAAGTTGCCAATAATAATGCCTGGGGTGTGAGTGTGTGTTAGGTGGGGGATAGAGTGTCTGTGTGTAGGTGTGCCTGCAAGGACTACAAAGGACACGTCGCTCAGTCAATTTCAGTTCAGTCAGCTGTCCATCCAAAAGCGTTGCGATGGTCACTTTGCCAGCGAACACAAACTCCTTCCTAACCTTTTGTATTCAGTAACCCTCTCCTTGCCCCTATCCATTCTCTCTTTTTTTGCCAGCGATTTGCTCCCCTTGGAAAATTCCCCCTTGATTTTCTACCCCTTCAACTACCTTTCATCAAACCTCCTCGTTTGCCTTTCACGGTTGAGTTGTTCTAATAATGCAAATACACAATAAATAAACGTGCATTGCAGTCAAGAACTCAACCGAACTCAGCTCAACTCAATTTCGGGCACTGAGAAAAAATAGTACAGCTTATGTGTACTTTTTCAAGCAGATAGAAAAATCTTCTTCAGCCTCTTCAGCCTTTGTTATTGTCATCATTATTAATAATGATATGCCTTCAGGATAAATACAAGTTCTTAAAGCATAAAAACAAAAACAGTTTTCCTACCTTTATGTTATTTTTTCTAGTGCTGGTCAGTTGGCAGTTGCTTAACCTCCCAGCAAGCAAATAAAGCGCTAACTGAACCATTTGGAATTCGGAATTCAATACTCGGCCCTCAACTAGCCAAACACTGTGTTTGTTGGCCAATTCTCTGTGCCACTTTCTCGAGCAATGCCAATTATTTTCAGCTCTTAGTCATAATTTACCAAGTGAACGCCTGCACATGACGATCAAATTGCATTCTAAAGCCTTTAACTTCATTTAGCTACATATATATATATATAGAGAGAGAGAGAGAGTACATTTGTTTAGCATTTGGCTGACATGTGCAAGGATTTCCATTGCCTTGAACTAATAATTGGCGAAAAGTGTAATAAAAGTTCACCCCGTTTTGTTTGTGGGGGAATATTCAAACATTTTTCCCTCGAAACGAATGCATTGTTAATGAAGCTGCCTCTGCCTCTGCCTCTGTAAAGTGTTTCCAATTAGTCGAGTTCATTTCTAAGACCAATTTAAATAATATTTATTGTATTTAATTGCAGTAAATAAAGTCAATTTAAAGCTGACTAATTGTCAATGATTTTTTTAAAGTCTTTTAGGACTTTTGTCCTAAAGTCTTTAATCTTTAAATGTCTAAAACTTTAGAGATAAAGACTTGATTTATAGACAATTAATTTATTTTTGAATATCTTGAAAAACATTTTAAAGCCACTTTAAATCGATGTCTTCACATCACTTTCCATTGACCCCGAAAAATGAAATTTAATTGTTTTGCCATTACAAATAAAGTAAGGATATTAAACTTCCCATTGAGTTGTGAGGATATTCGAGACCCGCTTATTGAGCGCTTTTGTTTGCCCTTGTTCCGGAACCAACAAACATTGCTCTCCCACCCCCGCCATAAGGCCCCCCCCTTTTGTTTTCCTTTATGTTTGGAAAATACCCAGTACAAAAAAAAAAAAAAAAAAAAAGAAAAAAACGATGCAAAAACAATGTGAAGATATTTTGCGGCGCAACCTTGAGGTGCACCACACCCACACCCAAAGCGCCCGACCGCCTTTCATCACCCACTCTCCAATATATGATACCATCCTCGCTTTTCTTGCATGTAAATTTTCCTTGGCCCGGGTGGTTATTGATTTTTACCCCGCCACCCGTTGCTTTCATATTTATATATATGTATGTATACCCTCTACTTATATAGTAAACGGGTATATTGGTTTCTTTGACAAGTGCAAAAAAAAATACTAATAATAATAATAATATATAAAAGGCCACTTACCCTAATTTTCCATCCGGGGTTCTTGTTGGGATGCGTTGAAATCGATGAAATATGATGAAAAATGATGAAATTCGATGAAATGTGATGAAAAATGATGAAATTCGATGAAATGTGATGAAATATGATGATATGTCTTCCACACGAAGCGTCGAATATTCCCATTCCGTTTACCCTACACTTATTTCACAGGTGTATGTATTCTTTTAGCATATTTCACATACTCACATGTACACAAAAATAAGTAGAAGAGCACACACACACACACACAACCATTGGTCCAGCGGAGTCCCAAATGCATCCTCACATCGAAATTGGCCAAGTTCGTCATAAAACCAATTATCCATTGTTGTTATATTAAAAAACAGTCAAATTACAGTCCAGCGATCACTTTTTGGTAATAATATTTTAATTTTTAACACTTTTTAACAGCACAAACAATGTATGCAAGTTATTTTGGTGTGCAACTTTTTAAGAATGGCAACTCTTTAGCTAAATGACTTTGATAAGTAATGGGAGAGGGGGAGAGCGGACTAACTGTCCACGCACTGTTTAAGATGTAAACACTCTCTCTCCCTTAAGAATGGCAACCCCATAACTGAATGATTTGGAAAAAAGTACTGGGAGAGCAGAGCCAAGATCTACGTCATCGCTGCTTAGGTCCTATGTCACCCACTCTCTCGCTTAAAATTGGCAACTCGATAGCTGAATGACTTGGTAAAGTACTGGGAGAGGGCGAGAGCGAAGATCTGTGGGAGAGTTCGTTAAGCTGCAGCCAACCCTTTTTTCCCCAAGAATGGTAACTCCATAACTGAATGACTTGGATAAGTACTGGGAGAGAGGGCGAGAGTCGACCAACAAGAGAGGAGAAGCAGAGCTTAGATCTGTTGGCAGCGCTGCTTAGGCCCCCTCTCCCGATTATCAGTGACAAATCGATAGCTGAATGACTTGGATATGTACTGGGAGAGGGAGTAATTGGACCAACCGAGAGAGGAGAAGCAGAGCAAATATCAGTGGTAGCCCCTTCTCCCGATTATGAATGACAAATCGATAGCTGAATGACTTGGATAAGTAATGGGAGAGGGAGTAAGTTTACCAGCGGAGAGACAAGAGGAAGCGAAGATCTTTGGCAGCGCTGCTCTCTGCTGCTCAAAAGTCTTTTCCTCTTGTCATTGCCATTCTTAAAGTATTGCTTGCCCAGGTTACATTGTAAATTTGTGTTTGTGTTTAAATATTCTTAAAAAGTGCTAAAAATGGTTAAATTAATACATAATAACGTGATCGATGGAGTGGATATTGTGTTTTGGTCAAAACATCCTGGATTAATGACGATTTTTGCCAATTTCTGTGCGCCGCTGGAAATGAGACTCCGCTGGAAACGGGACTCCGCTGGACAAGTGAATGTGTATGTGTGCATTTATACATATTTTAATGTACATGTGAGTATGTGAAATAAAACAAAATAATTGTATACACCTGTGGGAAACAAAATAGGACAAATAAAAGGTGACTTCGAAGTGCGACATTTCGTGTGGAGACAACAAATTTCATCGAATGCGACACATCCCAATAAGCAACTTGAATAAAATGGAAAAATCAGGTGAGTGGCTTTAATATATTTATACTATTTTTTTTCGATCAAACTATTTCAATGACATTGTGCCTAATTTTGTGACGCGCATTATTTGGCTAGGCATTTCAAGAATTAGTATGTATATCAGAATGCTAAGCTAAAGGGAACAGAATAGGTTGTTGTTTTGACATTCGTCAAGCTCGCCAAGTAACGGTACTTCCTCGTCGATGCACTCGAATATAGCTGGTCTTCGTCGTCTTTTTTTTTTTGTTTTTGTTGTTTTCATTTTCTGTTCCTTCTTCTTCGGCTGCTTCAAGTTGATTATTTATAAAAAAAAAAAAAAATCAACGAACAAGCTAACAAGAAAAACAGAAAATCAAAGTTTTCTGCTAAAATAAACCCAAAAGTTCCTCAACAACAAAACGAGATGGGTATATAGTCCGTGTGCCGTCTGCCTCATATGTTGGTTGGGCATTATTAATTCCGTTAAAGCCTGCAGCATCGAAGGAACTAGAGAGAGACCATGGGAGCTCATTAAAGCGAAAGGGCAAGAAAGTAGTGATTCAGAAGGGGGGTGGGGGGGAGGTGCAAGAGATATGGCAAGAGGACCGGCAACTTGCAATTTCAATAACTCATTGTAGTGTTACAGTGGTTGGAGGTAGCTTATTAACTGCAAATGAAAGTATTATATTAAAAATCTGTGCTAAATAATCAAAAAAAAGTAGATAGAAAAGGGTTGATTTAAATTAAAGATAGAGAAACATATATTTATTCTATATTTAGAATTAATTGATTTAAAAAGCTAAAATTTGATACTTTCCTTTACCAAATTGTAGGTGATTAAAACATTAAATTATTCGTTATATCCAGCAGAAAGAGTTTAAAGAAAATCTAAAAATGTTGATTAATTCAAATTTTCTTCATGTTTTGTATAATTTTCGTAGTATTTCCCAAAGAACATAACTCACTGTGTCGCCTGTTTGGTTAGATAAGTAAATGAGGAGCGTGCGAAAAGGAGGGTCTGGGCCGTGGGCGTCGGACAGTGGGTGGGAAAGTAATAATAGTGGTGGTTGGAATCGGGTGTAAGTTGGTCTAGTGCTATCACAGTTTGCTCCAATTTCAAGGCATTACGCTTATGAGAATTTATGTTATGTGTTTTGGGGGTTGCGGGCGCATATTTCTACACACACACACACACACACACACACACATATATAGCATACACACTCCCAGTGTTACTCATACAGACACGCAGTTGGCAGGACCTGCTGGCGCCCTGCTGAGCGGCTCGTGGCTCCGGCGTCCTTCGACCTTTTTGGCTGGCAAACGCTCTTGATTCTGATCCGATTCTCGTTTCCCAGTTCATACTCCTGTGCCCTGCAATTAGTTGAGCATGATAAAAATGCTGTATGCCGACGCAGAGTGTCCTTTTCCCATTAAACCCCCAACCCCCACATCTCGTCGCCCCCTTCTCTTTCTGTTTCTGTCTTTTTCCCACCACAAAACTTCTCGTGCCCGAATGCTCATTTGCTCCTGCAGTTTTGCCAACTCATTTGGCGCGATTTACCTACACGCAGTACACACATACTTAAACTCACACGGTTGCACGGCGAGAAAAGGTTTAAATTAACTAGTTTTCTAAATGAAATTTAAATTAGAAAGTCAATTGAATTTATATTTTTGAACAAGTTTAATGAATTTATTACTTCAAAAAGTCTTTAAAATTGAAATTCAGCTTTTAAATTCTATTGTAAGTTCAGCTCTAGAATATCATACTTTTCTCGCTGTGCAGCTACACTAATAGCTGCCATGTACTTGGAGCTTTGACTCTGAACTCTACCCCTTGGGGGGAAAAGAGCCCACTAGAAGGACCTCGCATCTCGTTTCCTGTCATCATTGGAGCGACTGCCTAATGAAGTCGCCATCGCTCTATACCCACCACAAAACTTTGTCTGCTGCCATTCCTGTGTTTTGCCTGTGTATTATTAGTTGCGGGCGAAAAAAACGGGTGGAAACATCCAGAAGTTGGGCAGGGAAAAAGTATCATGTTGCAATCAATTAATTATGTAATTTCTTAGGCCCAAGCGAAACAACAGCCGCATAGTGGAACCATCTAAAGGGAAAATTAGTTGATTTTGCTTCCTTCAAGAAATTTTAATTATTTTTTAAGCATTTAAATTGTAATTTTTTGTGAGCTTTGATAGGTTGCATCTAAAATTTGTTGCCGCAAAAAAAGCGAAACTATTTTTGCTCTATCAATTTATTAAAATTTAATACTTTTGTCTGTTCGCTACTTGTTGAATATTTTCATAACCAATTTATATTTAGAGATGTTGAAAAATCTTAAATTATAGTCAAAAAGGAATGTACCTTTTAAGTTTCTTCAGGATTTTCTTACAAGGAATGTTACCTTTTAAATTTCTTCAGGGTTTTCCTACCAGGAATGCCTTTGTGGTCCACAGTCCGTTTCATGAAGCTTGTGATATTGACAAGTTTTCTTAAATTTCACGTTACTTATAATACTATAGTATGTACACATTCCGCTGCGCACACATAATCTTCGGCTATTATGAGTTGTGCCACAAGGGTGAAACTTTGCAGCTGGTGGCAGGTAGTGATAGCATCACAATTTATGCAAAACATGACAACGGCAAAAAAAAAAAAAAAAAAAAAAGAAAACAGTAAGGGGAAAAACCGGGAAAGCTGGTAAGCTGGTTGGTTTTGGTTTTGGGTTGGGTTGGGAAAGGGAAAGGGAACACGGGCAAGGGAAAGGGAAAATTGCTGAAAATCTTGCATAAATTGCTGGGCGCTCGAAAGTATGCAATAAAAATCACAACAAACATGTGTGTCAGCTAGCTCGGTTTTTTCTCCCATCCTCCACCAGCTATCCTTTTCGAAACGCTCCTCTACTTTTTCTGCAGCCCTCTTTCCATATATTTTTTCCAACTTTTTTGACAAGCTTGACGCTTTGTTGATACACAAAAAGATTGTTAAAAAATATTTATATAATTTTTAATTAAAAAATTAAAGAAGTATTGAAAAATCAAAAGTAAAAGGCAGAAAAATGAGTTTAAAAATATTTTCATAATTTTGGGAGATTATTTTAAGTATTAATAAGAAAGCTTAGGGTTCTAGTTCTAAATCATAATTGTTTCTTTTTTTTTTGTTCAGTGTCTGTGTTGCTTAAACCTTAAACATTATGCCACACTGACTAGTGCCACGCCCACTCTTTGGTATTAACGCCCACGCAATTTGGCGCCACGCTTCCATGAAGCTGCAAAGCTTTTAATTAAAGCATTTGCATTTTATATCAGTCTTCTATATACACATTTATATATATTTTCAAATATATACGAATATATATATAGATCCACGCACACCATTACACCTGAGCGGTGTGCCGCAAGTTATGCAGTTGGCAAAAAAAAAAAAAATACAGAATTTTCCCAGCACATTTCAGTGGGTTCTTTTTCGCAATTCTTTTTCTTCTATTTTTCTTTTTTT